AAAATGCTATTCTGATACACATATATTATTTTGTAACCACCCTAGGAATTATATACTTGAAATGAAATTTGACTTAGTCATTTATTAGTTTGTAATTTGTAAGAGTTTAGCTAATAATTCCCTCATAAGAATGCAGTTCTCTAAACTTTCCTCTGAGTGTCACTGCAAGTAAAATTCAAGTCATTTTGAAAATTAGCATGAGCTTGCTTTCTTGCTTTCTTCCTTTCTTTCTTTTTTTCTTTTTTCTTTTTTTTTTTTTTTTGGCGGAACTAGGGATATTTTATATATTTAGAGAAATCTTGGGTAGGAGATTCATGAAGCCATGATATAACCTTTACCTTGCCTGTGCAAGGGCCTATTACAAAAGGAAGGGAGGGATGGAGGGCAAACAAAGGGAAGGTGGGAGGGTGGAAAGGAGAGGGAGGGAGGGTAAGGAAAGAAAAGGAAGGGAAAGAAAAACTACTTTTTATTAAAGACCATTTTTAGGGGCTGGTGAGATAGCTCAGCAGACTACAGCACCTGCTTAGGCCAGTGCAGGGACCTTGGTTAGATCCCCAGCACCACATGCCATGCCAGCCCCACCCCCCCAGAACAGGCTAAGTAGTGTGGCTCACACCTGTAATCCCAGTGCTGGGAAGGCTGAAAACAGGAAGACCCCCAAGTCCAAGCTGTAGAGTCAGACCCTGCAACAACCAAATACATACATACATAAAGATCTTTTTCAAAAAAATTATGCAGTATATTGTAACTGTCCTACTAATCTATTGAAATTATTTCATTGCTATTTTATCTTTTTCTCTCATTAAAAAGAATAAAAAATTAAAAATCCCTGTACTAGCTGAATATTTTCCACGTTGCATATGATCTGTAGAGGAGGTTAAATGAGTTAGGGTAGGCCTTAAATTTAGTGACTTGTATCCTTTGAAGAAGGCCATCTGACAACAGGCAGCAATCAGAATGACAGCTACAGGTCCAGCATTCAGCTGTCTCAAGAAGTTACCAGAAGCTGGAAACACTGATTCTACCCTAGAACCTTCATAGGAAGCCTGGTCCTGATATCACCTTAGTTCCAAAACACTGGTCTTTTAAGACTCAGAGGATAATTCCTGTGGTTTTAAACCACATAGTTTGTGATGGCTTGTTATTGTGGCCTTAAGAAACTAACAAACCTGGAATCCTCAGGTGGGCAATCCTGAAGTTCCTTGGGGGCTGATGAACTCCTGATGCAAGCCATCTCATGGTCCTCTCAATTCTAATTCTGTTATAACTTATTTATGGACAACCACAGTTTATGCTTACCAAACATTCCACAAATGTTTACTTCCTTTTTTTTTTTTTTTTTTTCTTTTTACAGATTTTCCCATAATTTTATTGATAAACAAATAGCAATGAGACAGTTTCAAATCAAATTGGTAGGGCAGTTTCAATAATTAACAAATTGTGTACATTCTCCCTAGTGGTTAATTGCTGTACAAGATGCGGACATGATATCCTACTTACAAACACCATTAGAACAAATCACTCTATTCATTAAGAGAATGTAACTATATATCTATCCTACCCACTTTGAATACAAAGATACAAAATGGACATTCATCTCTATATGGTTTTTTGTTAAGTTCCGTTATTTGAATATTATAGGTGTGTAAACTCAGTAAAATATTCTAAAAGAGTCCAGTAGCCCATAATAGTACTGGGTCTTCTGCTTGATTGGTAATGTCAGAAACTGTTGATCTGAGTCCCCTACAGCTTCACATAACAGCATGGCTTTACTTCTTATTACATTTTTATACTTTTCTGCTGGAAGGTTAAGACCAAGGTAAAGCAGGACCTATGCAACAAGAGTTGTATCTTTTCGGTCTGATAAGAATGTTTACTTCCTTATGAAGAATTTTCAAACGATTATAGTTTCTCCCAGATTGAAACCATGTATGTTAGTATAACTGGTCTATTCACACAGGCAGAATGAGTATGGCATACATGGAACACACGGGATACCCTTAGCAGGCCAGTGGGTTTTTATACACAAACTGTTGTCTCAGGGTTAAGGTACTATCTGGACATCCCAAGCCCTTCTTCCTTTCAGCCCCCAAATTTGCAGTACCCTTTGCCCACTCACCCAGCCTGCCTTGGCAAGGCTCTGTGTGACCCTACTCCCAACCTGGTCTCTCACCTGTGGTAAGATGACTTTTTTCAGCTGCTCCTGAGTAAAGTGCTCCACATAGGCCTCAATATGAGACAGGAGCACCATCCGCACATGCTCCTCGTGAACCTCGAATAGCTGGAGGAGCACTGGGATGACCCGTGACTGGAAGAGGGCTGGAGAGAGCAAGCAAGGGGTTTCTCCTTGTTCTTTGTCTGTTCCAGAATTGGAGAGGATGGGGAAATTTCAGTGAAAAGAGTACTGAACATAATTCATAAGCTAAACTCAGAAGTTGACATTGTCCTAAGTGCTAAATTCTTAAGTACACTCTTGTGTAAAAATGTTTCTGAAATTCTAGAGATCATACTTAATCTATGAGTAACTTGATAAATGTTTAATAAGTAAAGAATTTCTTCTCCTAAATCAGATTAGTGACATATTAATATTCTTGTTGCAGTTTTATTCACAAAATCAGATCATCACCCTGTGCTACAAGACCTTGATGCTGGGTGGGCCTCTCTAGCAGTTGAGGCTTTTTAAAATATAGGTGTCTGTGTCCTGGTTGTCCCAGACCAACACAGCAGACAAGAAAGCCAATCTTTAAAAAAAAGTGGGGGGGGGGTGAATAAGAATTTCACCCTGTCTGAGACCCTCTTAACACCAGGATGGAAGGGGTATTAAAAAAAAATCAAGGCAGAAGATAATGACACTGAACCAGTAATAAGGAGATTCTAATCTGTAAAAGCAACCTGTTGTGCTCCCTACCCATAGCTCTGGCTTCTTAGAGTGACATCTTTTAAGAAAACTAATTCTAAAAGCAGAATCCCAGCTAACTCAAAATTCTAGTATTAATGCTATATTCTTTAATTTGATGTATTGCCGCCATCCACAATGCTATAATGTTATAAAGTTTCCAAGTTACAATTTCCTTTCACATCTGGAAAAAGAAGCTAGAAGTGAAATGAACTTAGCGATTTTCAGTCTTTCTGAAAGCAGAAAATAAAGATTGTTCTTTGGGAGCCAGGAGGCACAGAGCTACATGATGCACAGCAAATGCAAAAGTTCTTTAAAGATGTATGCCTTGCCTTCACACTTCATGTGTGTCCTATCCAGGGACATATGTGAAGTTTTTATGTATACAGTTAAGTCTTTGGATAGCAAGTCTGACACTCTGGGAAGATGCTCTGCTTTTGTATTATGGACTTTCAGGTTTGAGTTCAAGTATATATTAGGGGCAAATTATCGTTCTTTGGATTTAGAGCCAAACTAACCAACCTAACCCACTAAAAAATGGACTAATAACTGGCAAACAATTTAATCAGGAATAATATTTTGAAAGAGATTTCACCTTTTTTGGGGCCAAGCAGATGAGGAAGAAAACTCTTAACAGCTACTGGCTCTGCAAACACCAACTGATTAAGCAGAAGTGGCACCAACCTCGATGCTATTAACTCCTCTGACAAGCAGCTGACTCTGTCCAGTAGAAATCTGAGGACAAAAAGGAAAACCTGGGAAACAAGATAACAACACTACCAATTTTCTGTACATCTTAGCCATGTAGAGCCTCCACCCAACACTACCAAATTGGCACATGCTGAAATGTATCCAGCAAAACTGAGGTGAGCAGAATAGTCCCCATGTACTTGAAACAGTGCAGAAAACATAGGACAAGGCCAGCTCATTGGTACCTTGCTCCCAGCCAGGGTATGTTCTCCACAAATTACCTATGATCAGTGGCACACGAGTCCTGTATTCCTTAATAAGCCAGAGGCTTTCTAGATAAAAGGCACTTTCTCAAACATAGAAGATGTAGGATACTTAATTTTCTAAAGTTTCCATACTAATTTATGAGCTTTTTTTTTGGGGGGGGGGGAAGCTGGGGATTGTACTCAGGGCCTCTCATTTGTAAGAGAACAGGACTTTTTCCAACCTCATTACATCAAAACATCACACAATGGAGAACATTCTGTTGAGAAATACAGATAATCAGGTTACTAACAGTAATAGTACCCCTCCATATAATCAGTGTTAGCAGACAAATCATGACTTCTACTTTATAAGCAACAGGCCATACTATACATTGGCACTCGTAAAATTCTGTCACTATCAATAAAAAGAGACTGACAACCATACTTATTCCTATTCCTTTCTAGTTTCAAAGATGCTGGACCTCCCTTTCCTTAAGGACACCTAGCCATGCCCAGCTTTTCCTCCCGCAGGACCAAGCACAGAGCCCCCCTTTAACATGACCCCAGTTCCAGTTCCTACTGCTCCAGCCACTGTTCCATGACCACCTTTCCTTCAGTTTAAAAATGCCTGCCACTCACCCATCCTTACAAATACCCTCAACTGTGTTTCTTCTTTAGGAATATGATCTTTCCACTCCATTTTCTAGGAGGTTTTGCCCAGTGTCTGCCCTCTCACCCCTCAGCCTCACTCTACCAGAAAGGACCCACCCCTGGTAAGGCAAGGAAACAGCACCATGCTAATGCGACATAAGTGTGCCCTTCCCTACAGTGCCCCAGCTTCTCTGATCATTGACTGTCTCGCCCAGCTCACCCTCACACAGTAGTGTACCAGGGCTACATTTTGGATCACTGTCCTCATGTTACTACTTTCTCTGAAAGATATCACCAAGTAGAGGCTGATGAAACCTCAGCATTCACCATGAGGCCACAAGCTTATTTCCTAAGACCCCTCCCTGTCCATGTCCACTTCTGGTTCAACCCAACATACTCAACGGCAAATCTGCTGCAAGACCTCATCAGGCCTTTGTCCCTCCAGGGCGGTATCATCTGGTGACCATCACTCAGACTGGCCAACTGTATCTTTCCTATCGCAATGTCATCTTTGGCACTGGCACTGGCACTCCCCCTGCCCTGTGGGCTGCTATCCACTGCCTGGACACCACATCCAGCCTGACTTAAGTCTCCCCTTCCAGGGACAGCAGAGAAGTTCCACTAGAAGGGAACCAAGCCACCTCAGCCTGCTGCTACCCCTCCAATGGCTTGGAAATCTACTTTATACAAAGACACTGTCAGCACTCCTCAGTGCAACCTAGGAGCCACCTCTTCTGTCTGTGGCCTGGACTTACCCTCCAGCAGGGCATCTACTTGCTGCTTTTTGCAGGTTACCCCTTCTACCTGAACCGTTTTCCTCTGATCACTATCTCCCAACCTGTGTTCTCCAGATTCCTCTGAGCTCTTGTCACTATCCTCTGTTTATGAGTCTCAGACTGGGGATCTATCTCACCACCCAGAACTGTCGATTCCAGGGCTTCCCAGACAGCCAAACTGTAGAAAACATTCAGTAATGTGAAAAGCCAACGCCTGCCTCATCTTGAGATTACCTGAGTGATTTTTACAGACTTCTTCCAACTCACTGAATTCATGGCCTTAACTTTCTGAACTTACTTGAAGAATTCAGTTTTTTCCTCTTCACTCTTCAGTGTTAAGCTTTTCAAGAAATTCACAATTTCTAGAAAATCATTTCTAAATGACAGAAACAAAAAATATATAGGACAACAGATTAAAGAAAGCATATTTAAAGTCATGACCATCAACACCATTATAATTTTCAACAAATAAACATTCTCATTCTGGCATGTCAGCACATACCTGTAATCCTAGCTATCAGGGAGGGTAAGGCAGGAGGATCACAAGTTCAAGCTCAGCCTAGATAGCTCAGTGAGACTTGGTCTCTTAAAACAAAATTTTAAAAGGCTGGGAATGTACTCAGTGTGGTCTCAGCTTCAAGCTCTAGTGGAGGTGAGGCTACTTAAAAATTATTGGTGGGTGTGGGGGGTAGTACCACAGATTGAACGCAGAACATCTGCATTGACCTACATCCCCAGCCCATTTTCAGTTTATTTTTTATTTTGAGATGTGGTCTTGCTAAGTTGCTCATGACAGGCTAAACTTGAAATTCCCCTACCTCAGCCTTCTAAGGACCTGGGATTACAGGAATGCACCACCACCCATTTCAATTTAAACTTCTAAGTGTATGAGACAGATAATATGGAACAAGCCCATGAGAATATTACAATATCGAAGAGATTGGTGAAGAGGATACAAACTTAAACACACGCTTACATACTTTGAGGTCTTAATAGTCACAATGACTGTCCAAACTTCTGGCTGTGATAGAATGTTGTCAAATAAAATATCCTGGGAGAAATGATACTAACCACTACAAAAATAGTTGTTGATTTATGAAGACTACCTTGGTGAATATAAACTATTAAACATGATTGGAGGAAGTGGAATTTCTGTAAAAATCACAAAAATCTTACTTCTCCTGCTGTAAGTTACCATTCTTGGAGTAAGGAAAGGTCAGTTTTCTCTGGGGCTCCCAGAGTCCCACAAGCAATGAGACTGCTCAGCTCCAAAGAACCATAGTTCATTCCTACCACACGGGACCATTTTCCCTAGAAGCTCAGATACACAGCTGGACAGCGGACCTGGTAAGCACAGCTATTACCACATCTCCACACCTCATGTTTATACTTATGACAGACATTCTAACAATCCAGGGACTAGAGAACCAATCCTTAGGGAGGTAAAATTCACCTACAACTTCTAACTTCTAAAACTAAACTGATAGCTTCACTAATATAGCCAACTGACACATTTCATGTTACATATATCGTATTCAATGAAAATCACACAATATCCTCAAGTTCACTATTTCTTGTGATGCAATTTCCTAGAGAATGATCTGCCTCTTTTTTTTTTTTTTTTTGAGACAAAGTCTCACTAAGTTCAGGCTGGCCTGAAACTCATTATGCAGCCCAGACTGGCCTTGTGGCCCTCTTCTTGCCTCAACTTCTTGATTCATGAGATTAAAGGCATTCACCACCATGTCTGGTTCAGATGGAGTTTTAAGCAGACATAACGTTCTAGCTCCTTCCAATAACAATGGGAGGAAGCTACAGAATTATTGTACAGCATGACCTATTTGTGATTTAATAAAACATCTTTATATTGGTTTACATTTTCCTCAAGTGCAAACCATATTATACAGCGTTTGTGCATGTATTTTAATAATTTAAACCTATGTAAATTTGTGTATATTTTATGGTAGTGATATACTACTAAGTATCTTATGCATTCCTGACACACCTTTTTCATAATTTTTAACATTTCTAAGCTATGAAGTTCACGTTTTCAAACTCAGAAACCTCAAAAACAAAAACACACACAAGGTGACCCTTACAGCTCAAACCAACATTGTTCAGGGTGGGATGTATTTTTACTTGGCTGTATAGCAGAGGAAACACACAAATGCCTTAACTTTAAGCAGACTGGCTTAGCTCCTTGGCATGGACCCTAGCCTTGGCTCTTTCCCTATCTCTGGCCTGTTCTCTCCTCACATACAACATGGACTATGGGGTATGTTGTTACTTTTAGCTTTTTTTGTCCCCTTTCTAGTATACAACTATTAGTAAAGAACTCATGTTACAGTAATGAGAAACTGTATTTACTGTGGATTACTCTTTACAGAGACTTCATATGAAAGAACATACAATATTCCCAAGAATCATCTAAAAGGACATGGAGATACTGTGCTTAAGAAGCTCTTGTAAAGGGCCAGACACATAGCTCAGCAAACTGAAGTACCTGCTTAGGCAGGCACAGGAACCAGGGTTTGATCCAGAGATGTGATGCCGCCACACCCACCCCCTTCGGGGTGCGCTGAGGCAGTGATTGAGACTGGGCATGGCACCACGTGCCTGTAATCCCAGTAGTTGGGAGGATGAAAACGAGGATCAGTATGAGTACTATGTATAGTGAGATCCTATAGACTCTGTACTAAATACACTAAAATAAAAAAGCTCTTGTAATGAATGGTAAATATATACTATGTATTTGTCAATTTTTTAAAAAGTAGCTGAAGAAACAAAAATTACACAATAGAAAAAGTTTTAAAGCATTTTTCAAAAACATAATGACAAATATAACCCTAGTAACCATAGTAACCCTAGTAACTTCAGTGATAGCAAACCTTGTAGAGCTTTCAATGATAATCAAGGTGGTGGTGGCACATGTGCTCGAGCTTTGCCACCACTGCTACAGCACAGTGGTACTACTTATACAGAGAACTCCCACTGACCTGTGAGGAAGCTCTGCCACTGTCACACACACACACGACAGTCACAAGCATCTCTGAACCCAGGAAGACACTAAGTTACAGTGCACCCTTACCTTTTAAGCCAACTTCTTCTTTTTCACAAATTCCTTTTTTATACTATGCAAATATAAGACTTTACTATTATGATTCCCTGGGAACTAACAGTCAGATACCTGTCCGTTTAGGGTTACATGATGTATTAGCAAAGCTGTATGTGTGAACCTTGCTTTACTAAAGTATGCCTCAGCTGTCATGAAGGCATCTGTAGGAAAAAGGAGAAATAACCTTCATTTTCCTAGACCAGTAAGTGATATATGAGGCAGAGTTAGCAGTTTGTGTTCTTTGCTCTCAATCTCATTTTAACCATTTTTTTTCCAATTTGTATTTTTATTAGAATGTGTGCAGTACATAAGTCCTTGGAGAGAGCTGGAGCATGTGCATTACTCATCCTAAACCTTTTATCATCCGCTTCTCCCTAATCCCTCCCCCTCCCTACATCTTGGCCTCCTTCCCCTTTGCAAAAGACCTATTTCCTGTTACCTTTTATTTTGCTATTTATGCTTTGGGTTTCTCATATCAGAAAAACCATGCAATATTTAAAATTGTGTGCTAATTTATTTTGTTCAACATGGTCTTGAGGAGCATTGTTTTCTTGCAAATGACTAAAGTTTATCCTTTAAGGCATAGTAGAACTCCACTGTCTTCACATATTTATTTATAAACAAAGAAAATCTGCCTGAAGTAAAATATACTTGCTGCCCCACCTTTAAGAAAAAATTTAATACAACATATCCTATTCTTATTAATAACAGCATAGAAGCAAAAAGGAGAGGCCATGTTTATTAACATTTGCAATTAACTTACTAGTGTGAACCCCTGGACGCACGTAGCTTCTTCACCATCAGAAGTCCTAAGAAATCAGGATGTCATTTTTAAACTCAAAGCCTCATCTAATCAAGAACATCTACAAGCTCCTTTCTGTGATAGAACCTGGACTAACAACTATGAGGACAGAGCCATGGGGCCCCCTACCCACCATCACAAGGTGTACCAGACAGGTGCACAGGAGGCAGCAATGTGCACACCGGATGCCCTCACCTGAAGAACTCATGGGACAGTAAGGTGCAGAGCGCGGGCCGACAGTGTGGAATGGGATTCAGCAGGGCTGTGTGCAAGGTCTGCTGAAAGCTGGAGAGAACATCCGCTGAAACTGAAATCCAGAGCGACAGTTAGTTTCCAAGGGCTTCTCCCTCCTTTCAGGACCTCTCTAGCTGGAGACTGACGAGAGCAAAAACCAACCTGTAAAAGCCCAAACACACAAAGCCCTGGCTGTTGCGAAACAGCTTCTTGTTGCTTTACACCAAATTCCTTGGCAGGTGTAGAAAGCAGTCCTGCCAATGCCACCCACTCCCAGATGCTTTTTCTTACATGAAACCAGTGCAGGGCTAAAGGAGGCTTCGGTGGTAGGCAGAGGCCCTTTTTCAACCAGGGCTCCTCATCACAGAACACAGGGAGGTATTCAGTATTTTCAGTTCTTCCAAAGATGGTAGGTATTTGGCACCATTCCATATGCATAGCACAACAGTCTGTCCATTAAATACACTTAACCCCTCAGGATATTAGAATTTAGTTCTCAAATATTGAGGCTGACAGCCAACTGAGGGTGAACAACCCCATGGGCCTTGAACATCACAGTCCTATGTAAGCCTTGCAGATGACACTGCATTGGCATGGCACAAAGCTTCAGTAAGGTGAGAGGGCATGGAACGCGGAGAATTAAGGGGCCAGAGAGTCATAGGATTTGACAAAGACTGCCCAGAAAACAGAAAAAAAGAGAGTAGAACATAACGTCTTCAAACAACCAGGGCTTTCAGAGACAGTGGAAGGAAAAAGTACTGAGTAAATTATATTGAGGGGGGAAAAGAAGTCAAAAAGACTTTTAAAACCCTGATTTAGAAATTAATAAAAGTGTTTGTGTCTTATTGCATCTTACGCATTAATGGCATTTTTAAACCCATTTGCTGGCTCAACAGGCTTACAGTCTTCACTCTAACAGTAGGAAAGTCTTCAGATCACAAATACTATCACTGATTATTAGGAGAGTCAGCTGAAAGGCTGAGGCTGGAGGATCATACGTACAAGCCTAGCTCAGGTAACTTAGCATTTTATGGAGAACCTGTCTCAAAATTTTAAATTAAAAAAAAAAAAAAAAAGGGAATAAGTGCTTGCCTGGCAAGTACAAGGTCCTGAGTTTAATCCCTGGTACCACAAAAAAACAAACAACAAAAAAATTAAAATAGTAACAGAGGAATTGAACATGTAGCTGGCGGTGAAGTCCTGGACTCAACTGCCAGTGCAGGGCAGAAAGAGGGGAAGACACGATGGACATGATGGTGACAGACATAATTCAAAGTGCTTCTGACGTTAAACTAACAAAATCCAAAAGGCTCCTTCCTTACTGCTGTCTGTATCTTCCCTAAACAAGTTAGGGGGTCGACAGTAGGCTCCTTACTATGCAGAGGCTGCGGTCCTCTGAATTCCACACAGAACAGGCGTGGGTGAATTTCTGTGGATTCCTGAGTGTAATTCCAACTCACCCTGTTCATTTAAGATTGTGAGCAGGCTCTCCACCAGTGTTCCAAATGAGTAGGCATCCCGTGCATGTCCATGAGTCTCTGGGAGAGTTGTGAATTCTGGGGACTAAAAGCAGCAATTCTATTAGAACTATAGGATCTGCCTGCCATGCCATTCCTGACTTTTTCTGAAGCATATTCTCCTGTACTTGCACTTATTATCTCTAACTTCACAGTACCACTTGCTCACCTACAAGTTTTAAGCCCTTAGCGTACTGTGCCACATAAATACCAGATCATAAAAATAAAAGTAAAATACTATTAGTGGATGAAATTTATCACATTTTAAAATACCAAATAGCAAAAAAAAAAAAAAAAAACCAAAGTCAAAATACACAATTGTGCTTTCAAAAATATTTTTGTATTTATCGTGTAAATTTTGTATAAATCCAGTATACCCTCATACATCTAAATATGTAATGAAAGAAGTTTAATAAAATAATACTTAATCTTATCCAACATGCCCAATGATATTTTTGATTTATCCTATTTTCCAGTTTTTTTTTTCAAAATACTAGTCAGAACCTCTTCTTAAGGTGTTGTAAAGCTCAAAAATTAACAGTTTGAAAAACACTAGAATACATACACAGTATCTGATTTATTTCGAGCCTTTGGTAGATAACTAATAATTGGGTTTGTATTACTTGCAAAGTAATACAAAGATACATAACTTATAATGTATCTTTAGGAATCAATGTTTATTTAGAGTAATTATAAGAACAAGTACTGGGGCATTTTGCTTTTGCACTTAGGGGTAAATAGAACATTATTGTTCTAGTACTATATTAAAAAATAGGGCCAGCCCCATAGCTCATTGGACTAAAGCACCTGCTTAGGCAGAGACAAATATGAAGCTGGGATAATAGCAAATAGGATGCACAGGCAAGGGCTTGAGATACTATTTCCCCAACAAATATGACTTCCAGCAAAGCACAAGGACTTACCTGCAAAGGATATAATACTATGTGCCCCCTGAGGAGTCTATCTATATGCAATACCTCATGTACCCATTCATCCAAAAAATGTAAGCAGCGCCATGGCTTAATATTAAACTTAGACATTTTCAAAGTAGAAAGAATTATGAGGCATGTCTATAATTTAGTAAAGAATGAGCAGAGGGGAAAGTTCTGTAAATTTCACAATAATTGTGCAAAGGTGCCATCATTACATCTCATATGTCATCTTACCATCTCTTCAGGAGGGACAGAAGCTGGGTCTCGAACTGAGTGAATGTTCTTCAAAAACTAGATTAAAAAATTAACACAGTTTATACATGTTTAGTACATACTAAGCTACAAAATGAGCAAGCAATGGAAACAGCAATAAAATCTTGAAATCAATGCTATACTTTACACAAATTTTAAAGCTTCCCAATTAAAAATGTAAATATAAAACCTGGCAAAGCACAAGGCTTAGAAAATAAATAACAGCTTATCTTCTTCCTCTGAACTGCTTTAACAGACAGCCCCTGCTATTAGAGAAATTAGTGTGCCTTATTTCCTTATATGGAGATTAGGCACACTTCTTTATCGTCTTGATAGACATTAACAATTAACAGACTTTTCAGTTGAGTGTGGTGGTACATGATGAAAGTCCTATCTATTTGGGACAGCTGGGCAAGATTACATTGGTCCATAAGTTTGAAAATAGCCTGGGCAACATAAGAGAACTCCATATCCAAAACGGACATTCTGGCACTTGTTACAGCTTGTGTCTAGATGTTTTCCCAATGCCTCAGGTGGTACTAGGAGGAGCTTTTTGTGGGTGGCTGGATTTAGAGTTTGTGATGCTGGAATTAAGGATATGATGCTGGGATTGATTCATGGTGTAAACCTAAGATTAAGGGTGCTCTACCCTGGCTGCGAGTGCCATCTACCTCTGGCTATAATATAAGGGACAGAAAGAGGAATGCTGGTTGTTGCTTACTACTTTATTGCTTTGCTGCCTTCTCCCTGCTAAGAACTCTCTTTCCCTTGCGATGCCCTTCTGCCATTGCACCCTGCTTCAGAACCAGTTGAATATGGACTGAAATCTCTATGAACTCTGAGCCAAAAAAACCTTTCCTCCTTTAACCCTGGGTGTTAGGTATTTTACCTCAGCAACAAGAACAGTAACTAAGGCAATAACAAGTCGATCATTAATCTCAGGAAATCAAGTGAATCTTGCCTTGCTGCTATGTGAGACATAAAAGTTGAGAACCTTATGAATTGTAGTGAAAAAATCAACATCTACAGAGTAAGCAAATTTATTCACCACTATGGAAATAGAATCTTTGAAGAATTGCTATGCTCAGAACACTCTTTAGGGCATTAGAAATGAAATGAAATGAGATTCTCTGCTCTCCCAACCATGTGCTAATAACCAGAAGACAGACTAAAACATTTTAATAAATGTGCTGAGTATCATGTAATGAAGTAATTCTGCTGGATGACAGAAGGATTCACAGAACAGAAACTACAGGGCCGGCCAAATAGCTGAGTGGATTAAAGAGCCTATAAGCAGGTGCAGGGGCCAGGAGTTCGATCCTGGGCCTGCCCATTCTGGGCCTGCAGGGGCCAGGAGTTCAATCCCCAGGGTGCACTGAGATGGCAATTGAGACTGGGTGTGGCAGCGTGCACCTGTAATCCCAGCTCTTGGGAGGCTGTAAACAAGAGGATCACTATGAGTCCGATCTAGTAATGAGACCCTGAACACCTGTAGACCCTTCTCTAAAATACAAAAAAAAAAAAAAAAAAAGGCAGAAATTACAGTTAGATCTTGGATGAGCTTACATTGGCCAGGGAAAGAAAAGCACTCCGGCAATGGAAAGGCATAGAAAGGAAGAGGCGATGAGAGAGAGCTGCCTAACCGAAACCCAGATAAGCTTATGAAAAGAAAGGAGCTGGAGTCCAGCTGAAGCACTGGGCATGGTGGATGCAGCAGGAGGTAGCCTGACGAAGAGACTGAGAAAGGTTTTATATGCGATTGCAAAGCATTTGTTTCCTTAGCATATAACCCACATGCTATTTCATTAATTAGACATAATGGAATCAGTTCAGAGTGTTCAATGGGCAGCGGTAATAGAGAACTGTGTCTGCAACAGTAGGAAGATTTGAAAGGACAAAGAGCCCATGAAACTGCCAAGTGGTAAGGAAGCCAAATGTGAAGAGGTGCCATGTGAGAACAGTATGTCACATGGTGAGCTACCACTTCCACTGGGACGGGAGTGGATTTTAGTGTTATCTTTTCCTGGAAAGTGAAAGTCCAGGAGCAGTATATAAAGCGATGCAAAGAAACAAACCAGAAAAGAAAGGCTTATCTGTCTAGGAAGAAAATGTACAGCAATACCAGACAACCTCACTGAGTAGTAAGTGTTTGGCTATTTATCTTTCCCCCAGACCTAACTAAGCAGCCCAAGAAGACAATTTTCATAGCCTATCTCTTAGATTCCTGGCATCCAGCACTATGGAGTACAGAAGAGGGGCAACAAACATTTGTTGAGTCAATTATCATTTTGGACTGTGTTTAAGCAACCATTTTCTCTTATTCCAAGTAGCATAAAGGACATGGATAGATAATTCAGGATTCTTGAAAATTCTGTTGAATTGAAGCTTTATCATTAGAGAGGACCTGAAGCCTTTCTGCAGATGCAGAAGAACCTCTCCAGTCACTGTAGGCTGAACACAGTGTTTCCTTTGTTTAAGACATTGGTTAGGTATTTATATGGCCAGTGCTGTTTGACCTTGTGTGAAGGGGCAGGAAAAAATAATCTGGATACCTAAAGTATGTAACAATCAAAGAGCACAAATGAGCTCATTGAGAATGTGATGTAGGTTGAATGAAATAACTTTTGTAGTCTTATCAGAAAAAAAAAAAAAAAAAAAAGAAGCACAGGAGGGCTGGCCAGATAGTTCAATGGACTAAAGTGCCTGCTTAGGCAGAGCACAGGGCCCAGAGTTTGATCCGTGGGACTATAAGCCAAGCAGGCTCTGTCGCTGAGGCACACTGAAACAGCGATTGAGACTGGGCATGGTTGTGCATGCTTGTAACCCCAGCACTTGAGAGGCTGAACATAGGAGGACCACTATGAGTCTGATCTATAAACCCTGTACTAAAATTAAAAAATAAAAATAAAGAAGTAGCTACACCATAGCATCGTTGGAGGACTTAAAATGCACAGATCCTAATTCCATAAATATATAACTTTGGCAACTTGCAAAATTATTTGATGAATACTACTTAAATATTTAATGTAAGCCAGGCACTATTCCAACTGGAGCTAAAGATATGCATAGTTGAGCCAGCCAAGTACATGCTACTGCACCCCTTTTCCCATGCAACAACCTATCAGCCTTAGAGATCCAACAGTTCTGCTTAGGAAAGTCTTTGAACTGATTCCCAAAGACCTGCAAAGTTCCTGTGCCTGCCTCTGTCTGCTTCCTTTGTTTGAAAACCAAATAAATCTGGGATGTCCAGGGGAGTTCCTTGTCTTTACAGACAGAAACAGTTCTTAAGGTGCTCAAAATTGTATTACTGGTTTCCTTTACTTAAACTATTCGCCAACCGCTCATTTAGGAGATTGGCCCTACGCCAAGACCCTGGTAGCATGCATTCAATTAAAAGTCTGAACAGATCATTTACCTCTCTAAGGTCCTTCATCTACAAAATTAGAAAGGAATATAGGACCCCTATTCTCTCTGAAAAACACAATCTTACATAAACATTTGCACAGTTAAAATGGTTAAGTCTCAAAATCTGAGGTCATATTAACAATAAAGGCAAGTATCCAGGCAAGAATTACTGATCCAGATGCTATCGAAGGGGCCCAGCACCCAGCTTACCTCTGGTGTGGCCTGAGATACTTTACAAACGGTCTCCATTCCTCCTAGTTTCCAGTGCCCATCTTCACTCACAAACACAGAGGATAAGCAGACATTGTTGTGTGTTAGGTGTCCCTGGAAAAAGAAAAGAAGACCACCACTCCAATTTTTGAAGCTCAAATTCTAAAAAAACTACCAAAAAATATTGTGGCAAGCCTTCTACTTTTGGCATAATAAATGAAACAAAGCTTTTTCTTTCTTTCTTTTTTTTTGTGTATTTTTAGGGAAGGGTCTATGGGGTGTTCAGGGTCTTACTACTAGATTGGACTGATAGTGATTCTCCTGTTTACAGCCTCCAAAGTGCTGGAATTACAGGCTTGTGTCACCACACCCAGTTTCAATTGCCCTCTCATTGCACCCTGAGGGTGGGCCAGCATGGCAGGCCCAGGGATGGAAGTCCTGGCCCCTGCAGGTGCTTTAATCCAGTGAACTATCTGACCGGCCCTTGAAACAAAGTTTTAAAGAAAAATTGAAGTTAGAAAATAGGAAAAATGAGGGCCCGGGGAGATGGCTCAGTGGAATAAGCGCTTCCCTGGGAAGCACAAGGGTCTGAGTTCAATCCCCGGTAACAGAAAAGCTTTTATTATCTTTGCAGCCTGATGGGGAAGTTTAATAAAGACATTAAGGCAATTTACAATCTAGTTGCTTTGCTTTTCTACAGGAATCAGGAGACAAATGTGCCCTTTAATGTAAATTTACCAGTCTTCACCCTGTATAAGGATAGCCTGTGATATCTGCTTCTAATGCTTTTAAAGATAACATTTATCTCTGGTGCGACTGGTTATTTTATTCATTATCTGCTCTAAATTCTTTCTCACGTACATTCTATCACAAACCCAGATCCATTTCACCTGAAATCTTGTCTTTAGGTATTTAAAAAATTCTGTCTAAAGAAGAGGAAAATGGATTAAGGACCACCAGAAATATCCCACAGATCACAGAAGAGTCAATTTTACAACTATGAAGATATAGTACAGTCAAATAAGAGAATGGGAGACAGTAAGAATGGGTTGAATATTTAGTTTATTTCCAAACCAAAAACCATGCCAGTACCTGAAAGAATACTTTAAATATTCTACTCACAAAATCAAATGTGTAGATTTAAAAAATACAGAACATTTTGTCTGATATATCTATATTGATATACCTAAAATATGTGTGTGGGGGTGTGTATATGTATGGGTTAGGATAATATATATGGTATGTTTCCATTTGAGGAAAAACAGAAGGACATGCATACAGACCTCTGCTTTGCATGCATAGGGACACATGCCTGGAATGACACACTGACCGCATAGTTGCCGCTGAAGAGAAGAGGTAGGTCCAAGGGTGAATGTGGGCAACAAAGACTAATTTTTTTCCCTCTAGGTAACTTCTTTATTGCTCAGACATTTGGCCACATGCATGATTTCAACAAAGAAGATACTACTCTTCCCCAGGGGAGTAGTAATAATTTTTTTTTACATGAACTTGGAAACAATAGCATTAAGAAATAGCAGCAGAACAATACTGTCAAAAGACAGACAGTAAGCATAGAACCACCATATTATTAAAATAGCAAACACTGCCCAGAGCAAAGTGTACTAACTACTGGGGAGTGTTCAGAGGCAGTCTCACAACTGGCCTTACTACGCAGTGGAAAGGAAGAGCATCAACTTTGCTTCTTCCTAACACACAGTTATTTCTTTCTTGAAATTCTTCATGTGACAAGCACTGGGAAAACAGGAGTTCTGGTCTACAGTAACATTAATACTAAAGCTTTAACAAACAGTAGCTATAAATGTTTTGAGGTAAAAAGACTTACCCAAAACCAGAGGCAGAATACAGTAAACTGAAATATGATTGGAACCAAGAAGTAGTTGCCCCTTCCACAAACTGTCACATCTCTTGTCCCTTCCACACCATCCTTGCATAGACCAACACACCTGTCACCTAGCCTACATCAAGTCCCATAAGGCAGCTGCACAGGTTACTCACCCTGTCATGAAGGAAGACTAGAGCCAGCAGTATGTCATAAACACCAGCACAGACCTCTGCAGCAGACAATGTTTCTAAGGCCACTTCGAGAGGCTGCACTCGCTCTGTGACAAGGTGAATACCATCTGGTTCCACAGTACAAGATAAAAATCTTAGCAAGCAAGGGTGACGAAGGGTCTTCAAGTGCTGTAAATATAAACAGAAAAGCTGATGAATTACCATTTCACATATATTGCAGTTAAAGCCAGAAACTGAATACTTGCATTCTAATTGCTTTTTAAGCTTCTTGCCTTCTCCTACATTTCCAAAAAAAGAATGGCAGGTCTACAGGTTGTTAAGATTTTGCACCACTTATCAGTGTCTAAATAACTACAAAGACTTCTGTTCCCCCATGCCAGTTCAGTCCCCAGGGAACTCACATACCCCAATCATGGCCACTATGAATCCTGAGCAAAGCGACAGAAACATCTCCAGAGCACTCTGAAAAGTAAACTGTTAAGCACAAAGATTATGGAGGGTAGTAAAAATCTGAATAAATGACAAGCATAGGGAGAGTTTCCTGGTCTAGGGAATGAATTTTTCTCTTTCTTACAACTCTGCACTGAATGCAGGCACCAGCTGAGGAGCAGGGTAACATGAATGCAGTCATAGAAAAGGGGAGGAAGAATCAAGAACCAAGTGGAAATATTGCTAGATTCACACTTTTGCTGCTTCAGAGAACAGGGGGAACAACAAGATGCACTTGGTAAGGGCAACTAACCACAGAATAAGTTCTCAGTGAACATCAGATGAACAAATAAATGACTTTTGTTCTGGTGAGCCCAAGCTCCAAAAGTTAATGAATTCCTGCTGTAACCTACTAACTGTACTAGGTGCTGGTCTCTGCAACAGAATTTTGAGTAAGCACTTTTACTAATAAATATGGCTCAGGGTGCCCAGAGGCGGGGCTAGCAGGGCATGTGGTGCTTCGGATCACACCCTGGTCCCTGCGCTTGCCTAAGCAGGCACTTAGTCTGCTGAGCTATCTCGCCAGCCCTTAGCAGCTATACTTTTTAGCTACAATAAATTATAAGAAAATGGACGTTAGTGTAGCTCAGTGGTAGAATGCTTGCCAGGAATGCACAAGGCTGGTTCAATGCCCCACACTGTAAGTAAGAACAAATGTATTCTGGGAAGAGGGTTACAAGGCTTTTTCCTTAAGAACTATCTTATAACTTAATTTCAAGATTCATCAAAGGTGCAACATCAAATAATTCATGTGACCAATGAAATGTCCAAATGACACCACTAGTAAAGAACCATTTATAGAGTATTATGAAATACGTATTTCTATACATGTTGAATATTTAAAAAGGACTCATGGTAATATAGAGCATAATTCTAGCAAAATAAAGAGCTATCACATTCAATATGAAAATGTCCCCACCCTAGTAAACACTGAAAAATTAATGAATAAAAGTCTGTTTTCCTCTCTAGAAATTTTCTGAAGATGATTTGGATGACTGATTTACTGAATTATACTCCACAGTTGAATCATCATGTGTTTTCTTTTGTGTGGTGCTTTTGACTTAGCTATGTTCCCAACCCCTAGGACCACTTTTCTTACTTAGGCTGGGCTCACATGACAGTGTCAGACAGTCACCTTATGGAATGGGGTACCTTAGAGAGCAGCAACAGTGACCAGATGTGAGCTAGCGGGACCTTTGTTCCGTAAGAGAAGACTCCAGCCTCCAGAATTTAATGACTTAAGATTTCTCATCAGTAACTATAACATAGGTCCAATATTCTTCCAGAGACATCCACTCCAAAACAATAGTTCAAAATCTTTTCTGGGGCATCATAACACCCCAAGAAAAGTCCAAAAAAATGTAAAGTTCCTAATATATTATTTCTAGGCCCTCTATTAACACACTAATTAAAATGTCAACACAGCACTTTTCATTAGACTAATTTCTTCTCTTAATCATGTAAAATCACCTCTTTTACATTTTCACTAAAAACATGAACTATGGGCTGGGGAAATAGCTCGACAGTCTAAGCGCCTGCCTGGCAAGTGCAAGGACCTAGGCTCAATCCCCAGTATCACATGCCAAGCCAGCCCTGGAACCCCAGGTGTACCAAGCTGGCCACCGAAACCAGGCATGGCAGCACACATCCATAATTCCAGCGCTGAGGAGCCTGACACAGGAGGATCACTGAGTCTGCACTGCATAGTGAGACCCTGTGTCGAACAAATAAATGATTAAAAAAAAAATTATGAAGATGAAAACTACTGCAATTTCATGAAGTTTTGAGGTATCTCTTTGGTACCTGCTGAAGATATAGAAGGCTCATAAAGTAAGGACAAATAAACTCTTATATAAGTGACAAAATACTATTTATTCGTTATGGTCTCACTTCCTTTGATTTTTATTAATTTCTTTCTTAAAATATAAAACAATAGAAAGTATTACTAAATCGTCACCTAGTATGGTACCTTGGCAGCTTTATTAACCTTGTCTTCATTTTCTCTCTTATATACAAAAACTGAAGCAAATTTGCCATCTTGCAGCACAGCAGGATAAACAGCCAGTCCAGCAGGTAAAGTAAACGGTGGCTCTTTCAGGGTATAGCTCTTTAAAGCACTGTTCTCTGAGCCCATCCCTTATGCCGTGGGCCAGTCTGCAGCTCCTCCCCAAAGCAAGCAGACCTAAAAGAAAACAGAAAACAATCTCAAATATTAACTATAAGTGAGAGGTCCATGGCACCCACAAATAGCCCCTTGAATCTATCCTTTCCACCACCCTTGTAGCTAGGGCATTAGTCAGTGAAAATAGCAAAAGCTCTGCAAGTCGTGGACAATGCTGATTAGTTCTCAGGTAGCAACTCCAGAGAAAATGCATGTTGTCAAATAATCACATGTAATTATTGTTCTTCCTCCATCCCCCATCACACACAAACTTTCAGTTATTAGAAAGTCAATCAAAAACAGAACACAGTAGTTCATATTTCCTAATTTACTTATGTATTCACACCCAGAAAGGAAAATGCTGCAAAGTTTGGTTATTCAAAAACAATCAGCATCATGCCAAATGCCTATAATTCCTACAGTTTGGGAGGCTGAGGCAGGAAGATCACAAATTCAAGCCTAGTCTTGGCAATTCAGCAACTTAGCAAGAATTTGTTTCAAAAACAGAAAAAAGATATGGGTGTAGTTCAAGGCAAAGGACATAGGTGCAATTCCTAGCACTGTAAAAAATAAACAAATAGCCAGGAGTGGTGGTGCATGCCTGGGCGACTGAGGCAGGAGGACTGCCACAAGTTCAAGGCCAGCCTGGACTACACAAGGAGACCCTGTCTCAAAAAAACCCAAAAACCAAATAAATTATAAGACTTCTGTATGTATAAGATTAAATCATAAAGGACAATCACACAAATGGAAAACATACTGATGAAAGCCATATAGAAAGCTCATATAAGTCAACTAAGTCTCAAACACCAGTAGAATCATGGGAGAAACTCTGGAGAAATGCACATGATAATAAACTTAAGAGAAAACTGCCCCCTCCCTATTTTTCAAAGTTATGCTAAGTAAAAAGAAAAAAAAAAGAAAAGAAATTATAAAACTATATAATGACAAAATCTAAAACACAAATAAAATTCTAGAAAATACAAACTACTCACTAATAGAAAATAGATCAGTGTTAGCCTAGAGAGGGGACAGTGAGAAGAAAACGATTACAAATGGGCATGAGGAAACTTGGAGGGATGGGTTATGTTGATGAGGATGAGGGTGACAAATAATTAGAAATATGAAAATATAACAATTGTATATTATATGTACAGTTTGTCAATTATACCTTAATAAAGTTACTTTAAAAAGGGACACGTAAGGTTAAGCATGATGCACATGCCCGTAATCCCAGCATTCATGGGGCTGAGGCAGCAGCATGGGCAAATTTCACTCCAGCCTAGCAACTTAGCGAGACTTCTCAAAAGTGAAAAAAGGAAATTTTCACTTCTCAGAGTGAAAAAAGGAAAGAGTAGGAGTGCAAGAACAATACACGCATAGCTAGATACACAAGAGACTTGGAAGTATTAAGGAAGGTTTGCTGCAAGGGGGTCAGACTGTATGTAATTTCGTAACTACACATGTATGTGCCCACCTGTCCCAAATCTTGTACAACATGAACATATCAGGCTTTACAACAGGCAGTGTACAGTGGAGTGGGTAGACAGTGAACGACAGGGGCACCTGCCATGAGGGGAACTTTCTCTGAAAACAACTGAGCCCAAAGCTCTGCCACTGTTCATGAGAAATCAAGAGCCTAGATATCTACGTGCATGTCTCTCTATGATTCAGTGTTGGCACAGATTTGTTTTAAACCCATGTTAGCCAAACGGATTATATCTGGAAAATCTGTGACAATCAGTTTTCAATTTGGGCCTTACATAATATAGTAAATTGTTATTAACTCCGGAAATGTGGCAAGCAAATCACTAGTTCTAAGTAACACAGACAAAAGTCTATGTAGACTTGTTTAAATTTTCTGTTAAAAATCCATAGTTTGTCTAACAGTCATTCTACATAAATGCTCCACTTGGATTTTCCCCTACTTGACAAAAGTTCCATCTAACAGTTTCTATTTTGTCTACGTAGTGCAGCTCAAACACATACCTAATACACAAAATACAGTATGCACAGATCCCTGTGCCTCAGCATGTAAAAAACACACTGCACACAAGGGCTGAAGCTATCTAGCATGAAAGCTCTGCAAAGTCTAAGAATGTTCTGCTTTGTGACAAAGCCACTGAGTTTTTCCCCTACTCATTTCTTAAGGCTGACAACAAGCCAGGCTCCCTGGCTCATGCCTCTAATCCCAGGACTCTGGAAAACATAGGTAGGAGGATGCCAAGTTCAGACCCAGACTGGATTACAAGGCAAGACTCTATCTCAAACAAAACAACACAACAAAACACAAATTTAATACAGAAAAAAAGTACTACATATGGTCTAATACTTTAATTACAGGATAAATTCCTACTGGAATGACAAAGTTTATGAAACTCACTGGAGAAAAAGCATCTGCCATCTACTATGGAGAGGCAGTGGCTGCTCTCAGCCTGAGGCTGGCTCTATTGGGAAGGGAAAGTCATGTGTGCTTAGCACCTAGACCTCACTCCCACGGATTCCTGGGCATAGTTCAGGAATCTGGTGCTTATGACTTTGGCCTCAGTGAAGAAACTGGCCACACATCACTGTCTTGCAGGAATATGAACTAGAATTTTTCTGTTAGTGCCACACCTGAAGGCCAGATGCCAGGAGGTGGGGCCCGGGTCTACTGTAGACAAAGCACTGAAAAGCAGAAACCTGGCAGGCACAGAGGAAGTCAGCTGGTAATAAGATAAAAAGCAAACGCTAGAAGAACAGCTTAGGCCGATTTATAGGGCACCTTACTACCCTCCACCTTGAGGTGCAGGAAGCCAGAAAGAAAGCCACTTTGAAGCCATTTCCTGCTTGCCTCAGGGTTACCTCACTATCAGCTCCTTTCCCTGAGGCAGCTTCAGCCACTTCAGAAGCAGAAAAAGACTATTTGTCTTTAACTTTTTCCAGAAAAACCAGTCAGACTAGAGGAATGAGTTAAGTGTTTCTCTGAAGGTAGCATAGCAGCCTTCTCAGTCACTAAACACAGCCTCTCAAAATCAGCACACCATAAGGGGAAAACTGAGAATAAGGAACTGCAAGTAAATGAACATTCTCTTAGCATGAAGCTAGGCGTTTGTTTCCAGTGTCAGTTCTTCAAAGAGAGATAGTCACTGGGACTCAGGGAAAGGGTTCTGGCCAGGTAAATGACAGGTAGTCCAGCGCAGCAACACACATTTAATTAGCTTAGTTATTTCTAAATAGCAAAATGTTCCTTGTGGGAATACTGAGCCTTACAATATCTATTAACCCATGATTCAAAGTTATAAATACCACTACATAAGAATTATGAGGAAAGCATTAGGAAGAAGTTAAAGCTGGTAAAAACTTTTACAGTAATTCATTTTAGGTCTAAGAGAGTAAGAAATACCATTTAAAATGTTAAAAAGGTATGACAATTTTTTGAGACAACTCAAAGAATGCCACTCTATATCCTGAAAGCATGGACAGAAGTCTGCTGATATGATCAGAATTTATTTCCTTTGCTCTGTAATCCAATGTTAGGTTTGGAGTCTCTGTCTTCAGTCTTTGCCATGGTTTCCTGGGCATGGTGTTACACATCTATAATCCCAGAATTTGGGAAGCTGAGGCAGGAGGCTGGCTGGGAGTTCTAAGCCAGCCTGGGCTGCATAAGTGAGTTTAGGGCCTCCTGAACTTTGTGGCTTTATCTCAAAAATCCAAAATAAATAAATCCTCATTGATCTCTCTCCCGCCCCTTTCACCTCTTCAAGCAGGACTTGTAGAAAGGGAAAGCCATGGGCTAGATCCATGGGAAACTAAGAAACCTGTGCTCTTGGAGGACCTATTTCTCTCTGTTCACTTCTAGGCAAGTTGTGAGCCTGCCTTGCTCCTCTAGCTGAGAAGTTCCAATAGCAAAGGTACTAATGTACGCTTTAGTGTCTACTGATTACATCACCCCTCGCCTTTGCTTTGATCTGGTTCAGGCACTGGAGATTGAACTCAGGACCTTGCACTTGCCAGACAAGCGCTTATTCTACTGAGTTATCTCTCCAGTCCCTAAAAATCTAAATTTTAAAACTGTATTTTTAAGGACTACAGCTCCAGGACGAAAGCCCAGTTTAAATTTTTATCCGACGTGATAAGGCGGGGCAATTGCCTTTACCCCGCAAATTAGCCTTTTTTACTTGTGAATAAACCACCTCTTTCCACCTGTTAACTGTGCTTCCTCTCGCAGACCTCCACCCTCAAGGGAGCAGTAGTTCTCACGGGCCGCCGATCTCAACGTTAAACACATGCAAATAGTTCGCCTTCTGCACAGCCACCCCTCCCCCCACCCCCAGCGAGCGGACAGACAGTAGGAACCCGCATCCTCGACTGCCCATCTTGAAGACATCACCCCGCTAAGGATCCTAGGGGCCTCATTTCTCTGAATAAGCACACTCCACTCTAGTGCGCGGTTTAAGTTTCTCCCTAAAAACCCTCTCCATGCCTCTTATTGACCAGTCCTGAAAACCAGTGTCTCTTTCCGTGATGGAAGTCAGGGAGCCTGCAACTTCATTCTCCCGGTGGAACAGGTGTGGGTCCCAGCTTCACTTTGTAGGGCGGTCAGGGTCTCCAACTCAGGGACCCTTGTGCGTGTCTGTCCGTGTCCCTCGCGTTGAGCTCCGTCAGCCTCGCAGACTGAGAAGTGATGCTTCCGGAAGAATCTTTAGGGCCGCGGGAACCAAGCGTGACTTCAACGGGGGCACCATCCCCCAAACTCAGCAAACCTCCGTGCGGGTCTCGTCTTCATCCTAAATGTAAACGTCACGCGCGGAGCGCAGCCCCTGGCCCTCAGGCCGACCAAGGCCTCCCTGCCTCGGACACCCGCGCTGCGCAGGCCTCCGGCCCAGCCCGTCCCCATCAGGTTACCTGCGGGCAGCCGGGCGGTCAGAGCGTCTCCTGGGCTCGCCCCCTTGGACTCCCCTCAGCCTGGGGCCACAACAACTACAACCTAACCCCGCCGGGCCGCTGGGACTCCGCGGAGACGGCCCGGAAATGGAGGGAACGCCCTCCGTCACCCCGTTGACGCCAACACAGAAGCGAGCGGACTCGGAACAGGGTTGGAGCAGGCGCCATGTAAATTGTGGGCGCCCAGGGCGATCCTGCGTTTTACTCACGGCTTCTTTTAGCCTTGCAGACCTTCAGTGAGCTCTTTCCAAGCCTTGATAGTGAATCTACAAATCTGTCTTTTGTCTAGTTTTTAATCGTGCAGTTTCAATTCACTTCCGCCCAAAGTCAAAATGTCAGCTGGTAGCCTCAAACAAGCGCTACAGTGAGGCAGCGTAGCGGAAGAAACGGAGGATGGCGATTGGCGAGAACTCCGAGCGTGTCGACCCACACGACGCACCCTCATTGGCTGCGCGGTCTGAGTCCCTATAGTGTGTAGCCCGTGCCGCTGCTGTCAGAGATCTGGCTCCTCAAGTGGAGCTCATTTAGAGAAAAGGCTCAGATTCAGCGAAAAGTGAAACTGGATCACCTCTAAAAGCCTACTTTCTTGGGTGTAACTGTGTGGCCTTAGTGGTGCACAGCTGTAATTTCAGCAGCTACTTGGAATCAGAACAAGGACGATTGCGAATTCGAAGCCAGTATTTATCTCCAAATTCAAAAAAGATCTCAGTGGTGAGGCGCTTGGTTATCAAGCATGAGGCCAGCCAGAGGAAAAAGAAAAAAGAGAAAGCCGGATCATAAGCGCACCCATTATCCCAGCACTCTGAAGATTGAGGCAGGAGGATCACAAATTCAAGCCCAGCCGGGACAATTCAGTGAGATCTTGTCTCAAAATAAAATAGAAATTAAAAAAGGGGGCACCATGAGGGTGTAAATCAGTACTAAGTCCCTGAATCTACCCTGAGTATAGTGTACACACACACACACACACACAACCTTGCAGCATACAAACTAATATTTTCCTGTCATCCTCAAGATCTAAAGTCATTGTCATCACTACAACCTGATGTTTCAGGGGCATCCAGATTAACAGGTAAATCTAAATTATTTGTTCATATACAACTTGTACATCCTTTCTAGCCCATAATAGCTGAAAATACTTAAGATGGATAAAGACCACAGTTTCTTCAACTTAAAACAAATATGCATGAAAACTTGACACTTACTCAAAAATGTTCTAGACATGTTGGGGATCTAGTTCAGTGGCCTAAGTGCCTGCCTGGCGAGCACAAGGTCCTGAATTCTATCTGTGGTACCAAAAAACAACAAAAGTGTCCTAAACAAATGTTTATGATGACATGGATACAAATGGTTCATCCAGTTCATGCTGTAATTACAATGATGTCAGAATTCTCTGTCCTAACTCAAGGCTGTCCTATAGGATCAAAACTCATACTACAAGTGTAATATTAATGTTTCTTGGAACCTCCCTAACAACAGTAAAATGAATGTAGTTAATTATGATATTATATTTAAATCCAATACATCCAAAAGATTTCTAATGAAGCAAATTTAACATAAGTAAATTCAATATAATCTGCTTTTTTAATTTACTTTTCACGACAGGGTCCCCTGTGTAGTTCAGGCTGGCCTTGAACTCAGTGATCCTCCTACCTCAACTGTTATGAGTTCTCAACACTGAAACCAGACCAAAATCCAATTATTAAATTTTATGAGCCTTTATTACCAGGCCCAGGACCACTTGAACATACTCAGGAGAGGACAAATGGTGAGAGAGCCCTAGAAGTACAGTGGTTTTAAAGGTTAAAAACTGCATCCTGTTTGGCAAACAAATTTGTTATTTAACATAGAATAGTTCCTTTAGGGACAGTATGACCATTACTCAGCATACATTCTTTCTGGGACCTTGGGCATAGCCTCCTAGCTTTGTTGCCCCCTTTAGTTTTCCCTCTGGTGGCATTTTAAACAGAAAAGAATGTGAACCTAGCATAGTCTAATTCTTGTTTAAGGTATACAGTGGTCTTGATTACCACAGCAATGCTTTTTATTTGGTTTTGTACAGTCAGAAACTTTTTTTTTTTTTTTTTTTTTTTTGTGGAAGCAGGGATTGAACACAGGCCCTTCCACTTGCCAGGCAAGCGCTTATTCTACTGAGCCATCTCCCTGGCCCTGTAGTTAGAAACATTTTGACCTTTATTTTGATTTATTTTGTAAGCCTATTCTGCTAACTTTCAGTCTATTGATGATTTATTGATGGTATACCGAGCCCCCTTGCGGTCTTACAAGGAAGCAGGGTCACAGAAATTTGAGCAAAGTAATTTTTTACATTTAGTTTTATATTAACTCATTACATTAGTTTCACATTAACCCTTTACACAACCTCCCAAGTGCTGGGATGACAAGTGTGTGCCACCACTACCAGCCTGAGATTTTTGTTCATAGGTTTTTGTTACTGTCTTCAAAATTGATTATTTTTATTTTTGCAACTAGAACTAACTGTATTTTAATGCTTCTTGATACATATGACTACAGGCTGCTGCATAGAAGAGTGCAGATATAAGCAGGCTGGCCACTATAATGCACTAGAAGTTGGAGAAATTAAAGTATACTTCTGGCTTCTTGTATATTATGACCAGGATCTACATCTGTCAACCAGAAATTCTCTGGATACAAGGAAAACCCAGGACCACAAGAGGTGAGATCTCAAGGCCATCTCTAAAGACTGAAAGTTCTAAGGAGAGTCACATGGAGAGAAAATATTCTTTCAGGCTTGCACAGAGCAAATTGGTGAAGCAATGGCTGTAACTCATTCAGATGCCTGACACTTGAGAAAAGAGCTACAAACTGCTGTACATGGTTTCAGAGTAAATCCTGAGAGAATTTGACTGACCATGTCAAATACAAAAGTTATGTTTTTAGTTATATAGGTCTTGCTTTAACTTGGTCTTAACCATCCAGCAGGAAAGTATAAATATGAGGTATACAAAGGAAAACCATATTAATATGCTGAGCTGTAAAAGGCTAAATTCAACAACCTGTTTATTTATTTATTTTGTATTTTAGGGAAGCGTCTGCAGGGTGATCAGGGTCTCACTACTAGATCGGACTCATAGTGATCTGCAAGTTTATAGCCTCCCAAGAGCTGGGATTATAAGTGCGTGCCACCACGCCCAGTCTCAATTGCCCTCTCAGGGTGCCCCTGGGGTGGGGTCTGCATGGCAGGCCTGGGGATTGAACTCCTGGTCCCTGCACCTGCTCACAGGTGCTTCAATCCACTGAGCATTCGGCCAGCCCTCAATAAAAGTATTGTGGAATTGTATGAGATGTGATTGAAACGTACAGTGAATGTTTATACTAAAAATATTACAGGAAAAAACACTTAGCCATTAATCCCCTTCAAAATACCTCGTTTCACTGAAATTCTCTCTGTTTTCTGAAGTCATTTTGGAAGTTTTCTTTCATGAAGGTCTTTAGTTGTAGTGTCATAGCTGCAGAAGTATTTACCTTTCATGGACATTTTGACTGCAGGAAGAGCTAGATGTTACTGTTGCCAGACCCAGTGAATAAGGTGGATGATGGCACACTGTAAAGTTTTGATGAGCCTGTTTCAGTTGGATGGCAGGTGTTAACAATGTTCACTCCATGTTTTAGTAGACCTCAAAGACACAAAAGAGAACTTCCAGAACTGCTTCAGAAAGTGGCAAGAAAGATGGAAGAAGTGTGTTTAACTCAAGGGGGAGTATTTTTATTTACCTATTTATTTTTATTTCTAATTTTTTATTCATTTTAATGAAAAAATAGCAATGAAACAGTTTCAAAACAGGTTAGTAAAGCAGTTACAATAATTAGTACACTGCATATTGTTGTCTTCATAGTAGTTATTCAAAGGACAAGTTAAATTTTAATATCAGTTGAATATACTTTACTTGGGAATGATGTCTGGGAATTTTATTAAGTGAAGAACAAATCCTTATGTATTGCTCTCCTTGAAAGCTAGTTTTGTTTTTGTTTTGTGAGAGAGGGGAAATAGTTTTACCAACATAGGGATGTAAAGTTAAACAAAATGAAAATGAACTTGGTTTTATCATAGACCTTCAAAAGATGCCCAAGACATCCAGCACAACTATTATATTTTAGTCACATAACCAAAAATTTAATAAAAGCAGAGAAGGCCTCTGTAACGTGCATGTTAGCTGGTACCATGTAAATGTGAATCTTTAGCTATCTCTTATCCCATTGTGAATGCTAACAGGATTAGCTAGTATTAGCCCTGCATCCACAAGGAGTGTGATATGCAGAGTGACCTGTAAATCTCTCCTGGGATTCAGCAGGGCTAGGTTGAACCGTGCAGGATTTTCAAAGCAATTCTCAGCACAATTATCTGCTTGACCTGCAAGATGAACAAGCATATCATTTAATTAATTGCCAAGCTCTTGTGAACAGTGCTGCTCATTTTTCTGGTAATTGCACAGTGATATGCCCTTGCTGATTCTTACAGGAATGAACAAAATTGCTTATGAACTGGGCTGGTGGCCACTTTACACTTTGCCATCAAATATGACTTTCCGTCTTGGCATGAATGATTCTGTACAGGGATACTATCAAAGCATCCGGAAGACAGTGTTGGCCCAGCTCTTTCCTCAGAGCAAGGACAAATATTGTTGATCTCCTAAAGTCCTAATACAAATGCATTTCTTTCCCTACTTATTTGTGAAGTACAAGTATAAGCCATATCTCTAAAATTATATAACTGTTCAGTAATTATGAAAAGTAATCCAGAAAGAACAGATTAGTTCAACAAATATGATTGTTTCTCTAGAATAAGTAAAAAGGTTTTAATTTCACATAGATATATTGGAAAGGGAAGGAAAATGAAATATATACAATTACAGTAACAGAGAAAATAGAATATAAATTTTCTTATGAAAGATTGTGAGCT